CCAAGCTTCAGTACAACTATGTTTTAGGAGCTCGGCCCTGACAACTACACATCGCCGATATTTTTGGAGTTTCAGATTGCTCGTCGCACCGTTGAGAGTGCAGACAGTTCAAAACTTGGACTTAGTAGCGCCGCAGTCATCGGCATGGCACGACTTGCGCCAAGGGCACTCGGTGTGCTGGGCGTGCCAGTGTGTCCAGATGCGCCAGTGCGCCAAGTCCGACGGTCCCTCTCGATCGTGCCAACGAAGGTATTCCGGGAGCTGCCGTTCAGCTGCGATTCGGGGCACCCCTCTGGCGCCTCGCGGCGACGCGCAGCCTCTGAAACGCACCTCCGGGCGAGAGCCGCCGGGAACCCACGGAGACGCCCGACCATCTGCCTCTGAGCCGCTTCTGTGGTGCGTTCTGGGCAGAGTGTTGAGGCGGATCCAGCCGTGGCCACGAGGGCGCCCCAGGATCATCCAGAGTTCCAGACAGCGATCCTCCTGTCCAGCTCGGGCGTTGCGTCATGGGGGGCAGTAGTTTTGGGGGGGGGAAAGGTGCACCAGGGCTGGACCTGAACGCCGTTTTGCTGGACGTCGGCTGTGTTTTGTTGTTCGTTTTGGCAGGGAGGTACAGGGAGACAGGAATAGCAAAATGAACAACAAAACGAAAAACAGTGTTTAGGTCCAGCCCTGAGGTGCACCTTTTCGGGCCCAAGGGGCACGCAAGATGCACGATTCTTCGCACCCCCCCGGTTATCGCCTCCCCATGTAAGCAACGCCCACTCAGCGCTCGGCCATGAGCCTGGGGCCACCACGAGGTTGCGAAGTGAGTCGCGCTTCGCGGCCTGGGCGATTTCAGAGCGAGGCCCGGGCCCCCCAGTCTGTTCTGCGGGGGGGGGGGCGCGAAAACGCTAAGAGAATCGCGCTTCGCAGAGCTCGGACCAGACGTAAGGGGGGGAATCGGAAAAAAGGGGGGGGACGAAATCTGCTGCGCGCGGCTGGTTTCGGCCCCGCCGCCGGGCCCATTCCCCGATACATGGGCGCCTCCCAGCGCCAGGAGGCGCGGGAAAGCCAGCTACGTGAGCTGATTCTCCACCCTGCCCTCTGCTATCCTATCCTTTTCGCCCCCTCCCCCCCGAAGAGTTCGCCGAGCGCGCGGAGCGCGAAGCGCGAAGACAAGCCGCCCCGGTGAGCGTGCACCGCCCCCCCCCCCCCCGAGGGAGGCAGACCTCGCATCGCAGGCGCCCCGCGGCGCGAGTTTTGCAGCGCTCGGCCCTGGTGCGCGGCGGTTCGGCGGCTCCGAGACGGCAACTCTGCGGGAGGGGGCCCTCGTCAGGGGCAACGATCGGAGGGGGGGGGGATGGGCACGGGAGTCAAGGAACAGAAAATTGCACAACCAAACATTCTAGACGTTTCGCGTATCCCCACCAGCCTTCCGCCGCTGGCGCTCCCGCCTGCGGCTGTAAAACAAATATATCCCCACCAGCTTCCGTAGCCCTCTGGCTCAAGCCGTCTGGTGGGCCTGCCCTCTCCGGGGCAGTCTCCCGCCGCTCAAGGGGGCGCCCAGACGCTGCGCCGTGGGCCCGCGGCCCTGGATCCCCTCCGGCCTCCTGGGCGCGCCGGCCATTGTTGCAGCCTTGCCGCCAGCGCAGTCGGACTCAGCGGCCTGCGGCTCAGATCGGATCAGGGCCGCCGCCCCATGGAGGACCGGCCTGATGACGGGCGATCGATCGGCGATGATCCTGTCATCCCTGCGGGGACGAGGGCCACATCACCTGACGTCGACCTCGGGGCCAGTGGACTGAATGAATCAGGACATCCTCGCCCTGGATATCAGGACGCTATCCCGCCAGGGCAGCAGCGTGGGAGCGCTGCTGCAGATGCTCCATGCGCGCGAGGACCGTTGGCCCCCAGCCAGACGGAAGGAGGGGTTGAGTCTCTCAACCTTGTGATGCACACCGACAGTGCGACCTTCCGTCGCTTCCCTGGAGTCGAGAGCGGCAGGCACGATGCGGCAGAAGGGGCCGACGCGGTCAGCCCCCCGATGCACACTGAGATTGCGACATTCCGTCGCGTCCTTGGATCTGATAATGACAGGCATGAGGCCCTCCCGCCTAGCTGATCCCCGTCTCTCACCCCTACCCTTTCCCATGCCCACTGCTGGGCGCCCAATCTCTTTCTCTCCAGGCGGTGCTGGGCAGAGTGGCATCGCCCACGGCGACACCAGGCTTACTTGGGCCAGCGGCCCCACTCCTGAAACAGCTAATCCCCTCTCGGATCCTGTTCCTCTTAGGCAGTCTGACGACGAACAGAGAGGCGCCCTCGGCTTCCGACGCAGGGACCTCCGTGGCGTGGAGGGTGAGATTAGGGACCCGACACCGCCAGCAGGCGCGCGCGAGGACGTCGGGGGTGGAGACGGGCAGTCGCCTGCGCTTGGCCCCGACGCACATCGCAGAGGCTTGCGCCCTCTCTCCTCCGAGCCCCCCCTTCTGGAGGCGATCGCGCCGAGTGAAGCAGCCTTCCGCTGCGGCTTGAGCGTAGAAGACGGGCCCTCAGGTCCTGGCCCGCATGGCGACGCTGTTGTTGCGCCAGGTCGCCTCCAGGGTCCTGAGAGCGGCAGGCGCGACACGGGAGGAGGGGGTGACGCGTCCATCCCCGCGATTCGCACAGATCTTGCGACCTTCCGTCGCTTCCCTGGAACGGGTGACGGCAGGTAAACGGATGTCCACGGTGTTTAACCCAGGGAACGGTGCGACGGGGAAGTATGCACCAGGGAGCGAACCCCCATAGGGGGTGGTCGTGATGACGTTGACAGAATTCACACTGATGCCGCGATTTTCCGTCGCTGCCCTGGATGTGATGATCGTTGTCAGAATGCCATCCCGCCCAACTTAACCTCCTCTATCACCCCTACCGCCCCCATGCCCAATGCTGGGCGCCCAATCTCCCCCTCCCCAGGCGCTGCTGGGCAGAGCGGAACTGCCCTCGGCGACGCCAGGGCCACGGGGGGCGAAGGCCTAAATCCTGCTCAAGCGAACCCCCCCACGGATCCAGGTCCTCTTAGACAAACCGACGAGGGACAGATGAATGCCCTCGGCGCTCGACCCAGGGGCCAAGACGACTTGGAAGGGGAACCCAGGGAGCTGACACCCTCAGGGGATGCTCGCGAGGGCGTCGGCAGGAGTGGCTCGCGCCTACACCCCGCCGAGCCCCCCCGCCTGGACGCGCCCACACCGAGCGAGGCAGTCCCCGCTGGCGAGCTAAACGCTGAAGTCGGACCCCCCCCCCCCCCCCGCGAAGCGCATTCCGTCGCCGACGCAGCGGGTGGCCGCCTCCATGGACCCGGGAGCGGCAGGCATAGCACGGGAGGAGTGGGTGATTCAATCACCCCTGCGAGACGCACCGAACTCGCGACCTTCCGTCGCTTCCCTGGATCGGAGGACGGCGGGCGGAGGGAGACCCAAGGCGTTCGACACAGGGACCGTTTGGAGGCGGGAGTGAGTACCAGGGACCTGGCCCCCACGGGGGTTGGTCGGGGGGGCGTCGGCAGTGGGCGCCCTGACGGTGCGACCTTCAGTCGATGCACTGGAGGTGAGAACGACAGACACGACACTGGAGGAGGGGGTGATGCTCTCATCCCTGCGATACACACAGATCTTGCGACCTTCCGTCGCTTCCCTGGATCGGATGACGGCGCGCAGAGGGAAGCGCGCGGCGTTCGACCCAGGGATCGGTGGCAGGTGGAAGAGAGGAGCTGGGACCCGGCCCCCACAGAGGTGGGACGGGAGGGCGTTGACCGTATCCACACTGAATGTGCGACCTTCCGTCGCTTCCCTGGAGCAGGTGACGAGGCGGGCCTCCCGCCAGAAGGAAGAGAACGAGACTCGGGGGACCCCGGTTCCAGTGATCGCAGGGTGACGCCCTCCTCCACGGAGATGATCGATCGCAATCTTCCCTCTCTGGGATCGGCGACTGGACGGCCCGCGGTGCCTCCCTGTTCGCCCGGTGCCACCAGGATCGCTCTCGATCCCGCGGTCGGGGCCGCTCCTCTGGTTGAGCGGATCGATCGCGCTAGGTCCCCGATCCCGGCGGCTGGATCGCCTCGTGCTTTCCCTCCCTCGTCCACCAGCTCTTCTCCCGACTTCCCCCCTCCCGATCCGCCTCCCGGGCTCGAGCTTCCTAGCGCCGCGTCTGGCGGATGCCGCCGTGGGCTTGAGTACTCGTCGCAAGACAGAGAACGGGGGCCCCTCCGTTGGACGGACGGCGGCCCGCCTCTCGTGTTGAGCCGCACTGCGCACGGGGGCGCCGTCCTAGTCGACCCCCCCTCCTACCCGTCCCCAGACCTGGCCCTGGAGGAGGAGTTGCGGATGGAAAACCCGCCCACCCCCTCAGACTATGACGACCCCAGCCAAGCGCTGAGGAGCAGAGGGCAGAGCGCCGTTGACCTCCACGCTCGGTGGCTGGACGCCACTGGGCACACGAACGCTCGCTGGGCGGCCAGCCAGGAGGCGGACGGACCCACGCGTGGCCCACGCGTAGCGGACGCCAGGATCACTGACAGGGGGGGCACCATTAGGGCCCTACGTCGCCACCTAGTGCGCATTGACGGTCCTTGGCGCGAGGTCCCCGACCGTGGAGCGCCGAGAACATCTCGTGAGACCAGCAACCTGGAGCTCCTCATACACCGTGCGCGGAGGGGGCACCGCCCAGGCCACCCAGGCATCCGAGCCGACAGCCCCATGCGTGTGGCTCCAGTAGAAGCCGCCCTCCCTGGACGTTGCTCGGAGCTAGCTACTTCCGCCCCGATCCTCGCTATCCTGGACCACTCCTGGTTAGTCTGGTCCATCACTGGAGGAGATTATGAAGGGCGTCTGGGAGGCGTTCAACCGTACCCAATACAGGTCCTTGCCTTCCGCTATGCGAGCATCACTCATGACCCCAGCATCAGAAGGGAGAGACTGGACGCCGCCGACCCCTCAGTGACGGGAAGGCAGCTGGCACGCCTCGAGTACGTTGCCATGGTCACCGCCGCGCGCTACTGCGACATAGGCATGGAGCCCCCGAGCGGCTTTGACACAGATAGGATGCCCATGCCTACCAGATCCCCTGAAGGCGCTGCCCCCCTGCACAGCAGTGGCCCCAATCGAGCAGACGGGGCGCAGGGCCCCATGGATGATGAGGTCATGGACTATGCGCACAGAGTCTCAATACACGAGCGCAGACAAAACATAGTCCACTTTCCGGACCATGGGGACGTCAGACAGTGGGCCATCACGAGAGGGAACCTCGAACGGGTGGGGAACGACGTGCACTCGAGACGACAAGCAGGCAGAGGCCCACTACCATGGATAGAGCCCGCCCTCTCGGGGATACCCGACAGCTCCACGGGCATCCTTGGAGTCCCCATTCAAGGAAGCGACTGCAGTGACAACGTGTGGCCATGGTCCACCACAGGGTTTCGGCTACGGCTGCGTAACTTTTTCTGCCCAGGAGAGGGATGCGATTTCTGCGGCACCTGGATGCTCCGAGATCCCACAGGGCGAATCTGCATTACTTGTCACAGGCTGGCCAACCCCTGGAGTTACAACCCAGGGGGGCCGCGAGCAGACGACCCGCCGCTGAGCCACCCAGGAGCAGGCCCGAGTCAGCCACCCAACAGGCATGCCCTCGACCTCCTGGACACCGCTCTGCTGGTCCAGCTTGTTAGAGCGGGCATGCGATACGCCCCAATCGCGGAGCACCTCTACTCCCCCACCCAGCCTGGCCCCTTCGACTTCACCCCGACCTGGCTCGCGGGCGAACTCCTGGGAGCCTGGAGACATATGGTGGCCCACGCCGCAGGCCTACCTGAAATCTGGGCATACGAAGACACAGGAGCCCTCGATGAGGTCGGGAGCGATTGGCAACTACGCACAGCAGCGATCTCGCTGGCCTTACTCTGCTCGGCGCCAGGTTCCTGGGCCCTAAATGTCTGCCAGCAAATACGGCAAGTCATTAGGACCAACCCCAGGGACCGCTCGTTGGCTGGTTCCTCTCTATCACTGCGGCCCAGATGCGCGCTCACCACCATGCCGGAGGCCCCTTCTTTCCAGCAGGACAACCGCAGCCGTCTCCATAGGGCCGAACACCGTGGTGCACCTGGATGACCTCTGCTGGCTAAGATACACCATCGGCGGGGATCACCTAGATCGCGCTATAAGCGACGCACGAGATGAGGCTGATGTCAGTAGACGCTGGTGGCACAATAGAGATAGCCCGCACTCTCAAGCAGCATAAGTAATGAGAGGTGCACTACAAGCAGCCGCACGCACCGACTGGCGCCCTATACATCCCCAAATGGGACAGGGTACCCCCCTGGGAAACCTCGTCACAGACGCTGTCATCAGGTGACTGGATGCAAACAGCAGGGGCCAGGACCAAGTTCGCGCTGGGCGCCCTAGTGACGGGCGCGCCCCCATGGATATGGACAACCCCCGCAACGGCAGGGATAGCCACACGGACATGGAAGGGGTAGGAATGAGACCCTCCCAGGGACCCCCCCCCTCCCCCCAGTTCTGGCGGAGGGGCTTTCCCAAGCGGAGCGCTCCCAGCGAGACGCATTCATCGATGAGGTGCGGAGAGTCAGGATGAGGGTCGCCAGCAACCCCGTCACCCCAGGCATGCGGTGGAGCAGAATCTCGGTCCCCTTCATATGGGGCACTGCGACCGACAGAGGTCGGATCGTTCTCGAGCTGGCCTTCAGGAGTAGCAACATCAGCACCAACATCATCGACCATGCAGCAGCCTGGTGGAGAGCACGGGGCGTCAGCTCCTACAGAGATGCCCAGATAGTGCTCGCGGCGGAAACAGGCATGGCGTCCAGGGCAGCGGGTGCCACGCTCGAGGCCCCAGAAGTAGGCGGCTACATTGCACCCCAGCTCCAGGAGCGAATGATGCTGCACCTGGACGCCAACGGCTTCCTACAGACTGCCATCCTGTCATGGGATCGACAGGCAGTAGAAGCCGGGGCGAGGATGCGAGCGCAACTGGCCAGTACCGAGCAGAGGGTAAACCCAAGGAGTCACGGGCCTGCGAGCGAAGGCAGGGCCCACCCTGGAGTTGAGGCCGAAGCAGTGGAAGCCACAAGCACAACCACTCCCTGGCACGCGGACATAAGACAGATGCTCAATCGGGCAAGCTTCGCTACCCCCCAGGGCAGGTTACCTCCGGGCAGTGCCAGAGAAGGGCTCCTGGACAGACTCATACGCACACTCGACGCCAGGCAGCGGGATGAGGAGGGGGCGGGCAGGGGGGCCATGCCGGCCCTCGGAGAAAGGACCTCTGTCAACGGTGACCAGGCACAGTGCCTGGCGCAGAGTATGCTGCTGGAGCACAGGGTAGATCGGCAACCAGGTCCCTGGATCTCTAGAGCCCTGTCGCTTTGCCTGGCACCACACTACTTTCCCTTCCTCAGACCAGTGCTGACTGTGCGGGCAGTGGACTCCCGACCCTACGACGTTCTATATCGCTGGATGGCTAGGAACGAAATACATGCGCCGGAAGACTTGGTGGCCCGCCTCCGGGGGGACTTCCCGGATGCCGATCTAGCTCCATACTCCGAACTCACCAACTTACAAATCCAGGCCCTCATATGCCATCTCAGTGAGGGAGCTAGTCTGACGCACCTCGACGCTAGCGTGTCCGCCAGGGCCCTCATTGAGAGCCTGGGGGATGGCCTATCCCAACTCGGCCACCCCCTGGAGACAACGCCAGGCTTCCCCCGGAAAACATGGACGCCGTGGACGTTCCTCCTTGGGACCTGGAAGTTGATACTCCACTATGCATGATCTGCAGCGAAGATATCTTAGGTTTTGCGGAAGCCTTGGTGCCTTGCGGCCACCTGTACCACGCCGAATGTTTTAGACAGTGGAGGGTTAGCCAGCCAGCGCAGGCCCACTCCCACGGAAGATGCTTCCCAGTGAAGTGTCCGATCTGCCGCTCCATTGATAGGGGTAGCGTCACCGTAAGATTGCCAGGACGAATCCGAGACGCCGAGGCTGCCGATGTGGCGGTACCACCAGACCTCCTGCAACTCCGCGATGGGACCTTACCCCCACTGCAGCCCTTCCTGAGCCTGCAAGAGTTAGCCGAGGCATTCAGGCACTTGGCCCCAGATCTGGACTGCCTCAGAGCACAGGCACTCTCCATCCGACGACCCCACACATACGTCTCGCTCTCAGACATGCGCAGAATCCACGTGCACGTTACGGAGAGGAGAACTGCGCAGGAGGCACGCCATGCCCCGATGGAGGTGGACGGAACCCCACTTGACGGGGGAAGCGGTGGAAGCGGCATGGACCCCGATGACACTCATGACAGCTCGCAGAGCCCTGAAACCCTGCCTCCACAGCGACCCCTTGGCCCCACCAACAGGGCAGATAGGATACGGCAGGCCCCGCGGATCACTTTCGGAAGATGGGCCCTTCTTCTGGGACGGAACCCCCCAGAGGATGAACCCAGGAAAAGAGGGCCCGGGCGGTTCCCGGCGGGACTGCTTACCGCGGCCGTCAGAGACATCGCAGCCGATCTGGTAATTTCCAGAAGCACGTACCTCGGCGAGCGTGTAGCGGATGAGACTGGAGTCATTTTCGCCCTTGCAGGCCCAGACGCCTGGGAGCAGATCAAAGCAGTAGTCACGGAGCGCAGGAACCAGCCTCAGGGGAACGCCGCCCCAACAATCATTGTGGTAGATGCCCTCGCTCAGCAGATGGACGCTGCCCCGATGGCAGCGTCCGTTGCGGGTAGCCCATGCTGTCTCGTCGCCCTGGCCACCGAGGGAGTTCCATCCCCTGGAGGACCGGATCCGGTCGAGCTCGCGGCACTGGCAAACGCGCAGTGGGGATACCGAGCCGCCAGCAGAATCACCCACCTCGTCCCGACCGGGCACCCCTACCGAACTGGCAAGCCCCGCCCACCAGTGCAGCAGCTCTTTACCGCTCATTTTCCACCTAGCGGGCAGGACACTGCGCACGGTTCTACCCCCGTCAATAGTCATGCTCTGGGGAGGGAGGAGCGGGGACACCTCTGACGCCCTACACATCCTAACCCCTGAAAGCGGCAACGACGGTGTCGTCGCGCAGATCATGAGGTGGAAGAGCGAGCTAGGACGATCCCACAACGGAGCGATCGCAGCCGACTGGGTCACCACGAGAGTGCAACTCCCCCGGGACGAGCTACTACGATACCAGGGACTCGAGATGCTCTTCCATCACGTTCTTCGCTGCAGAGCAGCGAGACCCAGGAGCGGTGATGACGGCATACGTGCCCCCCTGGATAACTTGTAGGCGGCAGCTTAAACCACCGCACTGGCCCACCAGACGGCATGCGTCTGGAGAACCCACGAGACAAGTGATTCTGTGCACATCCCTGTGCCCCCCAGGGCGATCTGCATAGCCCACTCCGTTGTCTCCGCAACAGCCGGAGCCATGGGGCACAGAGTGGGAATTTGCGGGGCGGGGCTTCTTCTGATCTCCACTCCAGAAAGGATCGCCGCCCCCGTCTTGAGACACCTCCGGGACGAGCTTCCGCGTGTCTTTGGAGACGGCTCCTCCTCCACGGCGCTAGGACCGCGCCGCATCCTCCTGGAAGGACCCTGGGATGGGGGACCTTCATTCGTGCGCCTTTCCGACCCCGAGGATGGCTTCCACCTACGGTGGAACCTCGCGGACATGGGACAAACACGGCCGGAGGACGTCCTGCAAGCCGTAGAGGCCACCACCGGTCCTGGCACGGTCGAGCAGGTCTCCACCGTGTACGCCTGGTTCCCAGATGTCTCTGACTACAGATACATGACGCAAGTCCGCATATATGTACGCCTAGCTGCGGCCGACGCCATGGCGGCAGCCTTTGCGGGCACCAGTTGCATAGTGATCGGAGCCCAGACCGTCAGGATCTTCCCTGCCACACCCAGCAGGGACCCCATGCACGGAGCAGCGGCGGCACCCAGGGAGCTACAGGAGCATGTGGATGCACTGGCCAGCATCTCGGTCCGGCAAGCCCCCAGACGAGCCGTTCAACCCCAAGTCCTCGAGATCACCACGTTCGACAGGCACGGAACGCAGCTCGGAGAAATTCGCCCACGCAGCATGCGCCCGGACGCCTGGCTCCTGGACACAACACGCTTCGGCTCTTGTCTGCCTCGGTTGGCTCGGCGAATGCTCAGTTACTAACCCGGCTTTGGCCGCTCCCGGATGGCCCTGACGGCACCTCGCACCCAGCCAACACCAGAGCTGCCCCACCTATCATCACAGGGGACTGGCTCCGGGAGAACGCTAGGGCGATGAGCAGGAGTGCGCCCAACACGGTACCTAGCGTGTCTCAGGAGAGTGGCTTACGAGACTACGAGATTGTCCTGCAGCCTGGAGAATACCTGCTCGCTGCAATAGCAGCCGGTGGAGCCGTGGAGGTCACCGCGAGCGGTGAAGCCGGCTTCCTCTACACGTCGGCCCCCACCTGGGTGACGGTACTCCTCCCTGCGGACGCGGACATCAGGGCCCCCACGAGAGGCGCGGACAGACCACGGGCCAGACTCAAACTTCAGCTCGCCGCGGGCCCCATTCACGTTGCGCGCCTGGACTCCGCCCCTGCAGCCACACCAACTCCCGCTTCCGTGGGGCTGGGTGTCAATGCTCCTTCCCAGCAGCCACATCCTAGACGCATCTCCGCATCCCTCAACCCACTCCCTGGGCCCGCCAGGCCCGCACACTTTCCGGAGCTCGCCGAGGTACTAGTGAGTGCATGCAGGCCGCCCCCGGCCGAGCTGGTGAGAGCCGACGAAGATGCAGTCCGCATCGCACGGGGCATGTTGGGTAGATACGCCGCCGTGGTCCCAGAGCAAGCGGTCCACGACATGGCGCGCGGTGTCCAGCGCCGGATCGCCCTCGAAATCCGCAGGCAACTCGAGGGTGGGCCCATGCAGAGGTACAACTGGGACATGTTCGCCGCAATCTGGATCCTGCAGCTGGCCAACCCGGGGAGCCTGGACCGCGACCACGTCTGGCAACTCATCCGAGAGCATGGGATCCGAGAAGAGGTCACGAGACAGCTCCCCTTCACACAATTGTTTGCGCCTGAACCTGACGACACCTACTCAGCCCACCAGCCCTGGCTCGAAGTCCCTGGATCTAGAGGCGCAGACGTCGACGCCACTACCGCGCTATCCATCCCAGAGAACGTCGCCAGTGCCCTGGGCGCCCTGATCAGCAGGCTGTCTAACCTTCACTGGGAGGAGCGGCAGCGCCACGACCCCGGAAGAGTCACTCGGAGACGGAGGGGAGTCTCCCAGACCTCCAGAACGATGGGAGCGGGGGACAGACCAACGGACAACCCAGGAACGAGCCAGCGCAGAAGCCGCAGTCGGGCGAACAACGAGATGGACGCGGCAGGCCCACAAGCCGGCGATGCGAGACCACCCGCCAGGACGGGCCCTGGACCACTAGCCACACACCTACAAGCCCTGGGCTCCCCAATTCGGTGACATCACAGACAAACACAAGTCCCAGTGGTGGCGATGACGACAGCCCAGCCCTCACCGCGCAGGAAGCGTGCAACCTCAGACCCAGATGGCGCCACCCGAGCAGAATACTGCACCACCCTCCGTGGCCAGACCTACTGGCGACGGAGTAACGGACTATGGCGTATCCCGGGTTGACAGCATCGGCCAAACCCCGCCCCGGGCGACTTCTGCGAACTTTGCGACACCCAGGGAGGGATCGGCTCGGCCACTCGCTCCGGTCCGCGCCGCCACGCCGAGCTCGGGCGTAGCGGAGGGACCTTCCCCAGCTGGCAACTCTGCGGTTGCTGTGGGACGAGAGCTCTGACCCCACAGGACCTCACGAGAGCCTCACCGGCGTGAACATCCCTGGAAGCCTACGGACCCCTCATGCTGAGCCCAATGCCAGCACTGAGCAGTGCGTGACTGGGAGGGGTGGAGCCATGACCCTGGACAGCACAGAAGGCGCGCAGCGCACGCCC